AAGTAATCACTGTCAACCAAGGGTGGCAGTGTCATTGGCATCTCTCCACTCTTATACCCTAGTTAAGAAGATTTTGACGAAATGCAAAGATAGAAAAAGCAAACAAGATTGTTACGCGGAAGCAGACACTCCTATAAACACAAGCAGCCGGTTCAAGGGGCACTGATCCATAGGGTTTGGTGTTCTGCCTTCTTCTCTTCTCTGCCTATTCTTGTCTAAGTCATTCTCTGGCTTCCTACTGATGGGTTTAAAGTATTTCCTTCCCCCACCATGTTCACTTGGAATCTGTTTGACCACAGTTGATTATTCCTTTTTGAGACTTCTCAAAGTTTCCTGGTACGTAGCATGACTGCCTGTCTCCTGTTTTCTCTCTAACAATGGAGCATGCTGATACTCTTCGCACTTGGGAAGCTGAGCCAGGAGGATTGCAGTAAGTTCAAGACCTGCCTTGGCTACATAGCAAATATCAGACCATCCAGGAAGACCTATATCAGAAACCTTAAAGCAGAAACCAAAAATTGTAAAGAAAAAAAATCACCCTGAGTATCACACAGATAAGTGGGTGCTCAGGTTGAGTGATACCCCAATGTTAACCCAACACTATCAGACAGGAATGCAGCTGCTGATCACTGTTTAGGGGAATACCTTGCACCCCTGTGACTTTCCTTTCACTCTGTGAACCCTATTTATTATCCCAAATCTTTCTTTCTTTTATCTCTCTGGATACTTGCTCTTGCTGTACCCTCGTCTCTGCTGTGTATGTTGATACAGAGTATGACATATCCTGGCTGTGCTTCCAGCTTCGTATGTAGCTAAGGATGATCTTGAGCTCCTGATCCTCTTGCCTTCACTTCCCTCCAAGTGCTAGAGTTGCAGGCGTGAAGCATCTCATTGTCTTTAGATGGCATCCGTCATCATCTCCTGGACTCCTGTTTGTCGCCTTTCCCCTCTCCTTTACTTAAAGATTTACTTTGTTTTTAATTATGTCTCTATGTGTGTATGTCCGAATAGGTCTGTGAGTGTGAGTGCAGGTATCCTTGCAAGCCAGAAGAGGGCGACAGATCCCATGAGCTGGAGTTACAAGTGGCCATGAGCCACTTCCTGTAGGTGCAAGCCACCAGACTACATTTTTGCAAGAACCACAAATGCTCTTTACTGCTGAGCTAACTCTCGTTCCTCTCATGAGTCTCGATTTTTCTTTGTTCTGCTTCCTTTGTGCAAATCTCGACCTGTTCAGAATGCATTCTTCACACATTTCCCGTCAGTTCTGGGATTTCTGCCCCTGTGCCTCTCCTCAATTGAGGTGGATACCTGAGGTCCCATGGTGGCAGCTTGTTTCTGTACTATCGCTTTATCTTCCAAACATACATTCTAAGTGATAAGTTCTATCAGCCAAAAGCATGTTCTTTATTCTAACTTTTATAAAAATATAATTATGAGATAGTTAGAATTTTACTGCCAGGAATCAGTAGTGCTGAATGAGTCCCGAGCCCCTTCTCTGACACACAGTTCTTTATTCAGGTTTAGTCCTAGAAGATTGACTCCCACTAGCAGTGTTTGTTGGGTCAAAGGCATTTTGAAAGTGGCGCTTTCTGTCTGCTTGAAAGAGTGGATGGGTGACAGCGAAAAATTAAATTTACACTGTATGTTTAAAAGCTAAAGAGGAAATGGCATTTAGAAATCATTAAAAAAAAAAGCCTTAAATGCCTACTTACATAGCTAGTGTTTTTATTCATCCTGTTTGGAAACAGTGACTTCAAGCCCTTAAGGGTGTCAGTAAGTAACTACAAACTTGTGCTCTGTCACTGCGTTTGAGTTCTATCCATTCCCTCCTGTCCCTTCTGTCCAGGTTCCAATTGTATGCTGCACACTCACATTGGGTTGTATGGTAAAGAAGGCGTCAGCAGCTATGGCTTCTGCAACCTTTCTTAAGCGGTTTTTCTCACTGCTGCAAGGGACTGCTCTCAGAGCCCTGTGTTCCCAGCCATCTTCAGACAGAAGTGTTCACGGAAGGCCTGAGTTGCCAGATGAACAAGCTCTCCTGGAAATGGCTACAGTTGGGCAGCATGAGCAGCCTTTTCAAGGAGGAAACGCCTTTGCCTGTTAAGAACGGGCAATGGCCTGCAGTAGCACTGTGGGCTCCTGGGAGCTGTCTGTGTCCAATGCTTTTCTATCTCAATGTCTTTGGGAGCGGCAGAGTGTGGAGCCAGGCATCTTTCAGATCATGGCTGATTGGCTCTCCTCTGAAGACAAGTGCACACCTGCCATCCTATCCCCCTCTTTCTTCACGTGTAGGCTGTGCAGGATGAAAATAGAAGCTCCTTGTACACAATGTCCCCATATTCAAAGTACCGGTGGTGAGGTCTATAACCTACAGCCTGCTCCCAGTCTTCACTGAATCAGCATCCCAGCAGAGAAGACGAGGAAGAGGGGAGGGCCATAGCTAGCAAAGAATGGGAGCTTTCCAAAGTCAGGCGTGTCAAGGCATCACAGCAGGTCCAGCCACCTTCGGTGCCGAGGAGCCACCTGCCAACACCTCCTTCTTCCATCGCCGTCCTTGAAGTCCAGTTTAGTAAATGAAAATCAGCTCTCTAATTGGCTTCTGCCCATTGTTCTTTGAAACTGCACAGCATAAGTGCTTTAAGTTGTTTCACACAGGGTTTTATTTCATTAGCGGTTTCGTGCATGGATTCTGGTTCTCGCAGACTGAAACATTGCTACAGTGCCGGAAACCAATGTGACAAAAAGCCTACTGTGTGTGTTGACAGGGAAGACAGGACACTGCCACGTGCTACCAAACTCCGAGCACCTGGGAATTCCTCTTCTTCCACTTAAAACCTCACACAGCAAAGGAAGGGTTTTTAACGTATTCCCAGTTATTAAGGCTTGAGTTCATTCAACAGTTTCTTATCTGTTCTGAGACCCATGTGGAAATAAAGGCCAACGAATCCTCTGGATGTGAGATGCTAACATGCTGGCTGTCTAAGCAGACTCACACGGTCTCTTTCATGTTGAGGAATAAAGTCTCCTCGTGTATTTGATGGCATTGATTTGGGAAAATATCAGCTCATGGGAAATATCTTCATGAGGTAGAGAAATTATGGGCCACACTGGCTCTCAAAGATTAAGAGAATTCCCTACTACAGTATTTGAATGGAGGAGACAGGAAGAATGCTTGATGGGTAGGTAACATGTTTGTTGATCTAGCCTGGCAACTCGAATTTGATCCCCGTGACCCAGGTAAAGATAGAAGGTGACAATTGACTACTCAAGGTGGCCTTCTGACCGCCACACGGATGCTGTGCACTCTGCATACACATCATGTGCACACATGCAGTAATAATAATGATGATGATGATGATATTAATAAATCTAATAAATGATACGTTTGAATGAAGCTCTCATTTATGAAAATGTAACCATAACTTGACTTACTTTGTAGTATGAAGTGCAAAATTGAAAAGATTCTTTTACCTAAAAACTATCTGTCAATTTCCTTTATGTCACTGACTTTAGAAACAGAATTTGCATTCAACATGGAATAATCTAAAGCTACAGACTGGACTGCAGGGAATCTTTTATGTGTGTGGTTGGCGATGGGCGGGATAATCTTGAAATGACAAAAATCGTGACTCGATAGCTTGTTGTCTCGTCAGCCGCCCAGCCCTCTGGTGCTGCCTGCCATTTACCAAAGGCCTCGCCTCATGACAGTGACCCTCTGTGGTTTGCTGTGACAAAATCATTTCAAAGTTCACATGCCTGCGTGCTCTCTAGAACTGGTTCCAGGTCGAATTCAATTCTCACACGTCTCTATTTTCTGAAAACTGTAGGGCTGTGTGTGCTCATGTGATGAAGTCCCCATGACTGGGTGATTAATAAAGAAAAGAGGGGTTCGGAGTTGGGGATAGGTGAGTCTGTGAAGTGCTGCTTTATAGGCATAGGGACCTGACCTCTGTCTCCAGAACCGCCCCCTCCCCTTTTCTTTTTGTGGCTGTTTCTTTGTTTTTATATTTTTGGTTGTGAGCCTAGCCTTTAACAGCTGAGCCATCCCTCCAGCTCTGTTGTTTTGTTTTTAAAGCCAGGTATGGCTGCACACAACTGTAGTACAGCACTGGGGAGGTGGAACTAGAGTACTCCTCAAGGCTCCCTGCGAGCCAGCATAGCCGACTTGGCGAGCTTCATGCTGTTAAAAGACCCCATCTCATTAAGCAAGTTGGAGGGTACCTGAAGAATGATATCTAAGATTGAGTTTGAACTATGTACACGCATGCACCAACCACTACACCTACATGTGCACCCCTGCATGAACACAGGCATAGCAGGTAATTGTATAAGTAACCCACCAACTCATCCTTTGCTCTTTCCACATCTCTGAAGATCACCCTGCAACCATCACTAGTACTAAATAATAAGGGTTAGTAAGGGTCAGCCTGAAGGAGCTGCAGAACTGTGTGGCTCACCTGCTTTGTGAGATTGAAATATTTCCTTAAGTGTCAATTTATTATATCTGGGTTTTTAGAAGTTGCTTCAATTGATGTCAAGTTGTCAGCTTCACATCATAAACAAATGTTTTGTTTCCTTTAGAGATTAGTGTTATGGTTGCTAGATTCCCCCCCACACACACACACGAATATTTCATCCTTGATTCTTCCTCTTCCCCTGTTTCCTTCTTCCCCCAAGCCCTAGTCTGTCTTTGGAACAAGGTCTCACATATATCCCAGACTGACCTCCAACTCATTGTCCCTCTGTCTTCACCTTTGGGGTGCTGGGATTACAGGTGGTCACTACCACATGTAATACAATCCTTCTGCTTTCAAAATAATTTTGTAAGCTGTGAAGGTTAGTTTTAGCTTTCAACTTGAGACAATCTAGGATTGCCTGGAAGAGAACCTTAATGTAGAATTGGTTAGATTAGACTGATATGTGGGCATGCCTGTGGTGGATTGTCTTGATTGTTAATTGATATGGAAAGACCCAGCCCATTGTTGGCAGCACCTTACCTTAAGCTGGAGGGTCTCAGTAGTGTAAGAGGAGGAGGGTTGAGTAAACAAATGAGCAGAAATGCATTTATGCCCTGTCTGCTCTTGGCAGTGGATGTAATGGGACAAGCTGCTCGAGATCCCGCCTTAGCGGCCCTGAAATGATAGACTCCGACTTGGAATTGTATGCTAAGTAAATCTTTTCCTCTCTGTGTTGATTATCGTCAAGGTGTTTGCCACAGCAACAGAAACAAAGATAGAATGGAGGTTCATGAAAAGGATGGACAGCTCAAGCTCCCCGTTCCCATGTGTCTCCCTCAGTTTCTCCCTTTTTCAACATTCTGAGGTACATCGGTCACAGCTAAGAACCTCTGCGTTTATGAAAATGTTTGATTATATAATTTAATGATCTGTAAAATTCAGGACCACACACATTAGCATCTTTCAAAGATATTTGGGAAGAAAGTAGCTTCGAAATGTATACAAAAGCAAATTAAGTGGTAAATTGTGTGTGCTCATTGTTTAGAATGTTAAAAATCAATTAGCCCCATTAAAATTAGCGTTTAGCTTAATAATATGGTAATGTTTGACTTGGATTTTTCTCGAGCTTGATAATTCTGATCTGGTGATGTATTTTCAATTTCTCCTCATCAAGTACAAACCTCATCATCCCCTTCTTTGGAAAGGATCCAATGAGAAGATGGTGGCGTCGGATCGGAGCCTCGGGAGCACTGGCTGCTTCCAGGGTGGTGCTTATCTGCGAAAGAAAGTGGCCGCTGTGTGCTTGTTTCTAGCTTTATTGACACAGGGCCCCACTCCATTACCAGGTTGACCTGGAGCTTACTCTGTAGACCCTGAGCTTGTGGCAGTTCCCCAAGTGCTTCTGTTATAGGCATGAGCCTTCATGCCTGACTTCTTCTTCTTTCAGAAGTGCCTTCTTTTTAAAAAGAGTGTGTTACAGTGCACCACTGTAATCACAACACTTGTGAGTTCAAAGCTGGCGGACGAAACCTTCAAAGCCAGCCTGGGCTGTATAGCAAAGTCGACGTCAGCCTGGATACATAAGATCCTTTCTCAGCAAATGAATACATCAATATCCAGCATTTTTCAAGACATTGGCTTCTCTCTTCTCTGTTCTCAATGTGTCTCTCTCAGTATGTAGGAGTGACCCACGCCATCTTCACTGGCAATGTGAGTCATCTCGTCCAGCTGGGCAGGATGAGGAAGTGATAGGGAAATGGTAGAAACAGGTTGACAGGGCACTGTTTGCAGGGGCGTCTTGGAGACTTGTTTCTCATGTTGAGTCCACCTTAAAACTATTGGTTTCTCATTTATATAAAGAGGGTTTTTCCTTGAGTTATTTCTTATCAAGAAAAAAGATTCTGGGGCTGGAAAGATGGCTCAGTGGTTAAGAGCATTGCCTGCTCTTCCAAAGGTCCTGAGTTCAATTCCCAGCAACCACATGGTGGCTCACAACCATCTGTAATGAGGTCTGGTGCCCTCTTCTGGCCTGCAGACATACACACAGACAGAATATTGTATACATAATAAATAAATAAATACTTTAAAAAAAAAAAAGAAAAAAAGATTCTGTTTTAATTATATCCAGAGGTGATTTGAAGCCTTGTTACTTAAGGTAATGAAAGACTGTTTAGAAATAAGAATATTGCCGGGTGGTGGTGGCGCACGCCTTTAATCCCAGCACTTGGGAGGCAGAGGCAGACGGATCTCTGTGAGTTCGAGACCAGCCTGGTCTACAAGAGCTAATTCCAGGACAGGCTCCAAAGCCACAGAGAAACCCTGTCTCGAAAAAGGAAGGCAAAAAAAAAAAAATAGAAATAAGAATATTGTGCCAGACATAGTGGTGCACGCCTTTTATTCTAGCGCTCAGGAGGCAGAGGCAAGAGGATCTCTGTGAGTTTAAGGCCAATCTGGTCTATAGAATGAGTTCCAGGACAGCCAAGGATGTTATACAGAGAAATCCTGTCTCAGAAAACAAAAGAATAACAAAAACAAGAACAAGAAAAAATAAGTAAGAATGCTTAGATGTAAAACTACAGAAGTCATGGCTTATGTTACTTGATCAGCAATGTGAAGCAAGAATTGGGAGTACGAATATGTTACTTGAGTTCTCAGAAGAGAAAGAAAAATGTTATGCTTATTCATAGAACTATAAGCAGGTATCAGGTAGGACCCACCCTTTATACTCTTACATTCTATATGTTGTTTGTTGCTGTTCTTGACATGTGGTCTACTATAGCCCAGGCTGGGTTTGAACTCATTTTATAGTCAAGACTGATGTTAAACTGATTCTCGTGCCTCCGCCTCCCAAGTATACGGTTACACCCTGCATTGTCTGCTCTTTAGTAAAGTTTTTGTATGTCCTAAAAAAAAATCACATTTTCTACCAATTAACGCTTTTTATACTAGCAGTCTGAGTTAGAGAGGTCAGAACATCATATATTCTTACGTGTCTAAAATATAGAAAACAGTCTAAGAGAAAGAGAATAAGAATAGCAGTTCCTTTCATGGGTCCAGCGTAATTGCAATCACCGTGTTCTGAGCTGACAGTTTTTCATAATTGTGTTCTTTACTAGTAAAGGCGGAAAATGAGCAGGTTTAGTCTGTCAAGCGTAGGATTGGGGCTCGCCTAGCTTGCTCATCAAGGCTGCTTGCATAGGAGGGTGTCCCACAGACTCCCTGCCAGGAAACAGGGATGGGGGGGACTTTGCCCCTGGCACACCCCCCTTTCCTAACAACCCTGGAATTTTCTCTGAGAGCTTCCCACCCTCCTTTTAGAACCAAGAAGAGCTCCACTCTTGGTGTGTACCCTTCCCCAAGTCTTCCTGCCTGAGACCGCTGCCATCACAATGTCCAATGACCACCATGTCACACTGGGGGATGTCTATGTGTACCAGTTACTTTTCTGTCTCTGTGACAAGATACCCGACAGAGGCAACTGGAAGAGGAATGGTTTCTTTTTGCTTAGGCTCTGCGGTCACAGTCCACCAGGGTGGGGAAGACAGGATGGCAGAAGCATGAAGGGACTGGTCACCACCGTGCAACCAGTCAGGAAGTGGCAGGCGCTAAGTTCCTTTTCTCCTTTCATCCTCCCTATTCAGTCTGAGACCAAGCCTGAGGGGGGGTCCGGCATTTCGGTTGGCCTCGTCTCATCCGTCAAAGATCTCTGAAGATACCCGCACAGACACACCCAGGGGTTCCCAATCATGCCATAGGTTAAGTCAAGCACGTCTATCCATCATACTGTACAGGGAATTAAGGATTACTTCGGGGTAATTTGGGCCAGTCAGCTTTTTTGGGTATCAGTAGTAATACAGCTTAGGAAATCCAATCCCATCCTTCCTCCTTCTCATTAACTGTCGGGCATGGAGCCTGTGTTTAATGCTGATATCCCTAGAAGTTAGTGAGTAGCGTGTGCTCATCCCAAGACGCTGCCTCTTTCCCCTCACACTGAATGCTGTGGACTGCAGAACTACGGTGTCTGCCAGTAGCAGACTATGCATAAGATGGAGGCCAAGGACTGTAGTCAACTAAAATCGAATAGTGCTTTGCCCACGCCCAGCCCTGCTTTCTAAGATTTCTTGGCTTGTGATAAAGGGTCAACCAGAAGAAGATCAGCTTATGCCAAAGAACTGCCAGCCAGTTACTTGGTTTCTGGACACCATGAGCCCAGGTCCCCTTCTCTGCTGTTGGGTCACATCCTGCCTCTCCAGGCTGTGTATCCCTCCCCTTTTCCCAGCACTGTTGAGCACCAGCTCTTGGGATCTTAGCATTGTGATTACACAGCTGCGCTTCTGTGGGGCTGACGTTCTCCCCTCCCACACCCATCTCCACCTGGCTAGGTACCCATCACGTTCCCCCATACATCCCCATTATGCCCCCGTTGTGACCTTGCATATCGTTTTTCTTTAAAGATCATTTCTCAGTAGATGCAGATGCAGGGACACAGTGGAGTATATAATCCCATGCCTCGGCACAGCGTTTAAAATGCAGTAAATGCTGAAGAGCATAGTGGGTCTCAGTGGATGTGTGAACGGTCCTGAGACCCAGCTTAAGTCCCCATGTGGTCACCTTTGTCTCATTCAGCCCACCCTGCAGCTTTGGGTCTTGTTCCGAATGGTACGCCTGTGTGTGGTACCTACCCTCTCTTTCTAGATCCTTACTTGGTTTCACCATGCCGGCTCCTGAGGGTTCATTGTGATACCCTCTCTTCTGATCCACAAATGGGGACTCCTGCGGCATTGGGGTTGGTGGGGATTGTAGTGGCAAGGTCTGACTTTGTTTACATCTGTACATCTCTACACAGTGTATCTGGACACTAGGTTACCCCAAGTCTCCATTCCAAAACCTCGCTGTGTCCTGAGCTCTGTCTGGCCAGGCAGGAGATGCAGGCAAGATGGGAGTGAGCTGGTCCTCAAATCCTCCCTTCCTCACTGCTACTTTTTAAAAAATCATTGATGAAAGTACCTTCAGGAGGAGTGTGTTATTTAAGCTCACGATTGCCAGGAACTGTCCATATTGACAGAAAAATCATAGTACAGGAGCTTGGGCCATTGTACACATTGTATCTGTAGTCAGGAAGCAGAGAGAGATGAACTCTGGTGCTCAGTTGGTTGTCTTTTTATTCAGTCTGGGGCCTCAGCCCACAAGAAAGTGCTGCCTACATTTCGGGTGGGTCTCTTGTCTTCGCTAAACAAACCTCTGCAGAGACATCTTCACAGATACACCTGAAGTGTTTTGCTTAGGTGTTTCCAAACCCAAGTTAACAGTAAGATTCATTTCAACTGTTCCTGCCTTCTTTTTGAAGGAGTTGCTAGGAGCCAAACACTGTACTGTCCACACTGAAATAACCCATCATTTCTGCGCTTGGAATGTTGTAGAAGAACTTCCCTATCCATTGGACTAGACTCCCTGCAGTGAGACCGGATATTGTTACTCTGAGGAAAACTGAACACACTTGCAAGCACTAGCGCTGAGGTGAGAGGTGAGAGCTCAGTCGTGAGCCCGCCTCATCATCCTCAAGACCTGCGTTGGGTTCCCAGCATCCTCATGCTAGCCGAATATAGCAGCCAGTGGAAGGGGTAACAGTAACAGGTGGATCCTTGGAAGTTATTGTCCAGCCAGC